GTTCATAAACAGTGCATCATCTAACAGCTCACATGTCCTCTCCTTGGGTCCTCTATTTGGGGTCCATGTAGAAGTGTCTTCGGCATATGAAAGCATATGCTGAGTTCCAAGGGCCCTCTCCAAATTTGATGAGAACAAACATAGAGGCAAGTTGTTAGCTTAGCGTGAGTGCTCAAAGGCTTAGCTCTAGAAAATCCATTAGGAAGGAACATTGTTAGTGACATCAAGGAAAGCGAATAAAGAACAATGCCTTTTTAATAGATGAAATTATGCAACCCCTTTATGTTAATATGCACTTTTTCCACTTGAACATATTCTGTTTGATGATTGTACATGCAGTATCGATTTCAGAACTTCAAGAATAAGCTAAAGAAGTCAAAAAGGAGCCTCTTGGAACCAACTTGTTTTCTTTCTTGATATTTGAAATCATAAAAGTATGACAACTAAAACTTCAAGAGTCAAAGTGCAAAGTTTAAGAAAAGTGCACCTCTCTACCCATTACCTTCGTTCCATCTATTTTCACTACCACATATTTGCTCTAACGCAACGGTTTAAAACTGTCGCGTTAACATCTAAACCGTTGCAGTTGCACAAACGTAACGGTCAGCAAACTGTCTTCATTGCTGCCGTTGCCTTAGCCATAAGGCAGCGGTTGCAAAACCTAACGCAACAGTTTCTAAGACAAGGCTAACGCAACGTTTTTCACAAAATGCAACGTTTTCTGTAGCGGTTTACTGATGCCTAATGTAACGGTTACATACACAAAGGCAACAGTTATTGCAAATGCAACAGGTTTCAGCGATAGTTTCTTGATACCTAATGTCGCGGTTTTGTACACAAGGGCAGCGGTTTTTCCAAAATCAAGGACCAAAGGCAACAGTTTTTTTTGTAGCTAATGTGACGTTTTGCTTTGCTATGACAACAGTTTTATAAGGCTACGGCAACAGTTTTATAGGGCTATATCAGCACTTTTCAAGAAATTTGACCAATAAGCAAACACAGTTACGTAAACCAAAATAAAAATGGAATAAGAACAAACTACAATAAGATATCATCAAAATAAAAAATAATGAAGCATTCATATGTTTTAAGCCCATCATTCAAAAATAAGTAGTTACAAGATAACTTCAACTCATCAAAATATGATCAATTCACAACCATCAAAATATGATCAATTCACAAGTACAAATCTGTTCCAAAAGATTCATATATCATAGCCATCTTGGCCGTATTCTCCTATTTAAGTCTTTATATCCCCTGCAAAAAATAAAGAAACGTATCAAATATCATGTTAGCAACAAACTGGAAAGGTTGGAAGTCATAACATCGTTAACTAGGTTTTTTGGAAGTCATAACATTTGTTAGTAGACAATTCCGTAGGCTGCGCTTACATGATTTAGTCATTAGACACACATTTTAAAAGCCAAATCACAAGAAAAGTCATACGATGCAAGAAATCGTGCTTTCTAATTAATCTCGTCTTTCAAATTCTAGGTTCCTGGTGTGTCCATGAGCATTTGGATCTTAGAACATTTATTGGACACATCAACGGTATTTTCATGTTGATTATGACAATATCATTGCCATGAGAGCATCACATGGTTTCCTATGGCTGATAGCCCCAGACCTTTGACACCTATGTCACACATGCATATGCACTAATGCTATTGATTATTCATGTCTATTATATGATATTCACCAAGCCTTTAGCGACAACAAAGATTCTTCAAGTTACGACAAGGGGAAAAAAAACAGTTCCAGTTAATAAACTGATACAGTTCCAAGAAATCATTACTGGCAAACAAATAAGGGTTACCAAGGTTAGTTTTATCACCTATGTCAAACATGACAGTGCAAGAAATCATTACTGGCTAGATTTCAACAAATGCAGTCACATAACACTTAATTTAGAAACAAACAATCAAGACCATAATTTTTTTTTGAATCATAGCTTACAATGGATTAAGGTTCGGAGGAAGATTATAAGGAATTTGGCCTCCATTTGCAAGGCCATTGCTGCTCATGTCCCTGCACAATATGAAGGAGATTAAATCTTTCAAAAAAATCACTTACAAAATTTAAATATAAGATTACTCATAAGAAGCAATGGCACTCAAAGATCAACTACCAAAGTCATAGTTTGCATGTCGTAGACCAATGTTCATTTCAAACATGAACATATTGTATTATAAATAACTTACAACCATTTAATGTTTGGTGGAAGATTAATTCTTAATCTTGAATTAGAAAAAAAAAATGGAACAATACAAGGAAAGTGAAAACTAATCTAGAACTAAATTGGTAATGATATTACAAAGATGCACATGTTTATAAAAGTAAACAAAATTGAGAAAAATATATGATTATGAAATATAAAATTTAGGACTTACAATTTTATCGGGAACAATTATATAGCATATTTTCAGATAGTGAACCTCCTTGGCCTGTTACACAAAAGAAATGTGATACAGTTGTTACACTAGAATACACTTAAACGTTCTCTTAAACTAAACGGAAGAAACAAATGAGTATACGAACCTAATAATGATTCTAAAATTTTTATCAGCTTATGATTGAAATCATCAAAACAAAAAAATTCAATAACATCAAGGATGTTACTTCAGATTCACAAAAGATAGTATGATGTTAGTTACATCTTTCTTTCTAAAAATATTTGAATAGATTAAAACTAAAATGGCAACAATTTGATTTGGCAATAAGCTTCTAACTGCAACTGTGCAAGTGAGATAATATCAAACACAAACAATTGAGTTTTTTTAAATGAATATTTATTCATATGCATGTCTATCTGTTTTAACATCATGGTAGTTTTCTAGTGTATCAATCGTTTATGCATAGATTAAACTTCAATAACTATTCTCCAAATAGAATAAGTGATTACAAGTAAATTAAGCTGATTACTTATTCTCCTCTTCAAACAAATTCCCCAGCACACTAGCATTAGAAAACCGATCTATCCTTCAAGGTTAAAATTTAGTCAATGTGATGTTAGAAGAAATATTTTGAGATAAAATACCTTGCGATATTAATAATTTGGCACGAGAAAAGTTTTGAGACAATGGCGACCTCACATTTTAGTAATCATCAATTGGAAACCACTTGAAAATAAGAATCCCTAAAGTGAGACACTCTTAGAAACTATTCTAACATAAACAAGAAGATTCAAACATGTATTACTACTAATTATGGTGGAAATTTACAAAAAAGTTAGCTAGTTTCTGAAATCAAAAGAAGTATAATGCAAGTAATATTTCCTGGTAGCCCTTGAGACTCCCTCTACAGGCAGCATAATGCAAACTGTGCTCCTCACTCATGCCACATTCACAGAATAAGCGTAGTCCAAATAATCATAATATCCTTTTCACAGTAAAAAGAAGATTGAAAGACCAACTAAGTATTAAAGCTAAGGCCAACATACAAATGAATAAATTAGTTCCTTATGGAGAATTGTCACTCTCGAAAGTTGAATTAGCCACTCTAAAAGTACAGCAATCTTATCCATTTTACGTAAGATAGCAACAATCTTATCCATCTTACGTGACCGTCAACTAGTTGCTTCTTAAATAAGTACAGCGTGTAACCTTAAAAACATACAGCTATAGTTATGTCCATTTTTTTACTAACTATAACATCACTTTTGCTCTTCTTTTTAATTAAAAACATATGCCAATATGCTCAATGTACTTGAAAATATTTCTATTATTGATCATAGAAGCTTCTCTTTTATAAGGTTATGTAAGGTCACTTTTGGATTTAACCTGCATCCATCAGTATCCATCAGTATCGCCGAAAGACACTTTTTGAAGTAAAATATAGTAACGATTATATAATGAAACAAAATTAGGGAAAGTTTTTATCTTGCATTAACACCATCTAAATTAGGTCCAAACCAGCTCAAAATTCAAAATTAGGAAAAAGATTACACTAAATCAGCATGACCTTTTCCTTCTAATTTGTGTCTGTTTACGCTAATTCTGGATAAATACAGAAGCCTCAAATAGCTGGGCCAGTTACTAAAACTATTCACCAAGTTGTGCAAAAAAATTGAAGAGTTGCTTACACGTATAAATAAAGTGATCACCTTATAGAATTTTACCAAGACACATGGAGCAAAAAAAATCATATCATATAAATAAAGTGATCATGATTGCCATATACAATTTTAGCATCACATAGTTGAGGAACTGACCACTAAAAGATGATCTTTTAGAGTTCTGAATCTGAGTATATAGTTTCCAATTTACTGTAAAAACCTAGATATAACCAGAAACTGAAGCAATTAATGAAATGAATTTCCAGAGCAATGATCCTCAAAGCTTTGATTTAAACCCTAAATCTACATCAACAACTACAACGACATGCACGAGATGAAAGAACTTAAAAAATCACCGAGATCGAGTCATTTTCCAATACCCTACTGAACTTGAGATGGTGCTGCTAGCCGACGAGATTGAGCTAACAATTGATGAAGACGACCATGCCGCCGGCGATGATGAGGTAGAATTGCTAACGGTGATGAGAATTTGCGATGGAGATTGAGAACTAATGTTTTGGGCGATGGCGAAGTGAGAACTAGGGTTTTTGACGATGGTTAATTTAGAGTGAGGGTTTTCAATTTTGGGAATTTCGAGAGCGGCGAGATGCGAGAGATCAGTTTATAACAAAAAAGTTAATTTATGAAAGACTTAACTCCATTGTCATCAAATAAAAGTCCAATAGTTACGTGTCAGCCCAAAACCTCCGGAACAATGATTGGGCCGAACATATTGTTTTTTTCACAAACCGCGACATTAGACTTGTTGTCACGGTTAGAACCGCTGCAAAACCGCTCCCATAGGTACCTAAATGCAACGGTTAAGACCGTTACGCAGAAACCTGCATCCAAAGGCAATGGACAGGTGCACGAGACATTTGAATAATGACCAATAATTTTACACATACTTCCATGAATAAAACCGAAAAACAGATAACAACACATAAAAGAAAAGGTAGGAAAGTGGGCATATTTAAAAAAAGAACTAAGGAGAGGTAATTAAGTACAACCACTAATCCAAAAGGTCATTACAAAGTCCTGAAACACTTCAGAAGTTGGTCTATGTTAAAACTAGTCCTATTTTCAGCTAGTCTATTCTTTATACTCTCAAGCATCATCTCCACAAAATAAAATTACAAAATCAAACAAAACTCACATAATTATAAAACTTAGACTTTTCTATCTCTATTACTTCATGCATCTCAAAAATAAAGAGCTTCCACTGGATCTTAGCCTCTCAAAGACAAAGCTTGACTTTGAAGGATTTGATTGTCCTCTAGAAGTCGATCATACTCGAGGAGCAATTCTTCAGACTGCTTTTGGAGGGAGTAAACATGGGCTTCAGCATCTCTTGCTCGTTTCTCTTGCTCTTTGTTCTCCAAACTTAGCTTTCGAAGCTTTTCGTTTAAGCTAGAAATTTCATCTTGGAGCTTCTTTACCTCATTTGAGGATTTATCATCCTCCTCTTTGGAACTGAGGTGATCTTTTCGAAGTCTTTCGACTTCTTCTCTTGAAGCGGAGGCTGTTTTTCTAAGAGTGATCATTTTGTTGAGGTAATGGTGCAACCGATCAATGACAAGTGCAAGGAAAAGTGTGTAACCTGCAAAATGCAACTCAATCTCAGCATCCATCAGAAAACTCAGAAGGAATAGGATGAGAGACATGTTATTTAACTACATTGGCTAAGTTTCACATTGTATGAAGGCAACTTATCCGACTTAATTTGCAGAATAACAGGACAAAATGGTATAGATGGGCCTTTTTTTGGGTGTGGCTGAAGGTTGTCGGGGATTATGCAGAAACAAGCTCTGATCAGCTAACCCCTTCGATCTTGATACAGATAATATCGATAAAAAGGGGGAAGATGAGAAGTATGCTTTGGAATAATTTAATTCCAATGTGGAGTATGAGCAAAAAATTTTGAAACAATATCAATCAGATTATCACTGCCCTATCAACAGGACCCACGTCCTGCCAGAAAGAAACTAACATGTAGTCATTTTTTTTAGGAATTAACCTGGAGTATTATTATCTGAAGTTTCAAGAAGTATGTGTGTGTGTGTAGATGATCTATGTATACACACACAGTCATTTATGTGTACATATACATCTCCGTATGTACACATATACATATAGATACACATACACATACACATAGATACATACATGCATATGCACGTATATAGATTTTTTGTGGGTGAATGCTTGCGTGATACGTACATAGATACATAAATATAGTGGATCCAAAAGTATTTAATTGCCGTCAGGATTGCTATGAGATTTGATCAAGGTATTTAGATGCGTCAAGTTTTAGGATTTTCTTCAAAGGAAACGTGCTAACTACATAAAAAATTTATATATGAAATGCTGACTATATGCAAGATAATTACATATTTCTTGAACACTGTCATCAGTATCAAAATTGCATCAAGAACGCCATGGGTACAAAGGCAGATTGGACCATAATAAACCCATTGGTTGAATCTCCTCAAAGTTTCTCTGTTTATGTACAATAATAATAATAACTAATAGGAATACACAGAAAAAAAGATCAATCCATGTAAATGAAATAACAGTGGAGAAACATTGCATTAGTAGTCAGTTCTGACCCATAGTTTTATCTTATCTATCTGCAATATTCACAATTTGGAAAATAAAACATCTACATCTTTCCCAACCAAGACCTAAAAAACAGGAGGAAAAAAAAGCAAAGACAAGGTTTTACGTTTATCTACATAAACATTGAGTATCTCTATGCACCACTAAAACAGGACAGATAAATCTATGTTCAACAGAATATTAGTTTTCTCATTTTGGTATTAGCGTAACTGCTGTAGTTAATAAGATCATAAGATTTGCCCAATTGTAGAAGAAGCAATGATTCAATTGCAAGATTCAAAAGGATCTTCTTCCTATGTTTGATTCAAATTGAAAAGACCTCGTACAAGGAGGATTTGATCACTAAAATAGGACAGATAAATCTATGATGGGTTCAACAGAATATTAGTTTTCTCATTTTGGTACTAGCATAACTGCTGTAGTTAATAAGATCCTAAGAGTTGCCTGATTGTAGAAGAAGCAATGATTCAATTGCAAGATTCAAAAGGATCTTCTTCCTTGGTTTGATTCAAATTGAAAAGACCTCGTAAAGGTCCTGACTGTAAATCATATTACCTTAACACAACAAGCTGTATTTCGGATCCTATATATCTGTGAATGGCAATTTTTGCACCTGCTTGTATGCCCACCTTGTCCGCCCACTATCTTGCCAACTCATACCCACCCATTTAATTAAATGGGCCATGAATAGGAGGGTTTTATTGCAATAGGAGACAAGTGGATCAACAATGGATGGGATTGTACCAGTCCATTTGCCCATTTTATGTTGGTGTCGTTTCAAAAAGGGCTATCAGGTAGAGTTGATAACGAACTAACATATGATTGCTTGATGTAAGGAATTGATTTGAAATTTAGAATTCAATTCTAGAATGTGAAATTTGTAATTTAATTCCAATTCCATTGTTTGGGAATAAGAAGTTCTAGAAATTTTAACTTCAAATTCACTATTTTTATAATTTTGAGGGGCTATTTTTATATTTTTTGGATTTGCAGGGGGTTATTTGTAATTTGGGAAAATTGCTTCTAGGCCCCAAGAACCAAGTTTCATTGTGCCCGAGCCCCCCTTACTTTTACTAATGTGCTGCAACCCCATTTTTTTGGAAAAATTATGTTCGGGCCCTCTCCCCAAGTTCCAATGCAATTTATTCCCAAAAATCCGGTTTTACCCTTCATGCCTCCTCTCCCTCAGCCCAACACCGCCCCCAACACCGCCGCTAGCTCCTTACATCGCCGCTCATCCCCTCAGCCCGACGCCGCCAGCCACCAGTACTTCTCCGCGCCGCTCACCCCCTCCTCAAACAGCCACCTCTAGCTTCCCCTCCATCTCGTCGCCGCCAGCCACCTCAATCCCAGCTCAACCACCTCCATCTTAACCACACCGCCCAACTCCTTCCCGTCTCCTCGTCGCCTCCTCTCCGCCCTCAACTCCTCCTTCCTCCGCCAGCTCTCATCCCCGCTCTACCACCTCCTCTCCAACTCAACGCCAGCCCCTACAACCGCCGCCGTAACCACCACCTTGTCCTCCCGCCTACACCCGCCGCCAACCTCCATCCCACACTCCTCGCCTCCTCCGCTCACCTCAGTCGCCTCCTGCTCAGACCCGCGCCAACCTCCTCCAGATTCGACCGCCAGCCTCCCCTCAGCAACCACTGCCGCCTCCTCCCTCCCCCGCTCGCCTCTCCTTCCCCAGTTAACATGTTATTAACGGTAAGAGTTAACATGTTAACTCTTACAGATAACATGTTAACTATTAAAGTTAGCATGCTAACTGTAAGAGTTAGCATGTTAACTGTAAGAGTTAGCATGTTAACTGTAAGAGTTAGTATTCGTTGGCATGAGAAAGAGGAGGGTAAATTTGGGATTTAAGCCAGCTGTCATGTCTAATCATCCGCTAGCATGAGCTGGAATCATAATGGAGGGGTCTGGACATAATTTTTTCAAAAAAAATAGGCATTAAAAAAAATATTGGGGGCTGTGCCACATTGAAAGTTGGAATTTGGGGCATTGACACAATTTCCCCTTGTAATTTTCATATTTTTTGGAGGGCTGATTGTAATTTTCAGTTTCTTCACGGGTCTGTTATGTTTGAATTTTTTTTCAGGGATTGTCTTCAGATTATTCCAGGTGGTTGTATTTAAATTTTTAGATTTTAGGGAGTTGTTTGTAATTTTTATATTCTTCAAGGGCATGCTTGTAAATTTTAGATTTTTTGGGAGATGTTTGTCTGTTTCTGAATCTTCGGAGGGTTGTATGTAATTTTTAGATTCTTTATGGAATTGTAATTTTAAGAATCTAAAAAAATTAGGAACAGTATAGCATTAAAGTCTAGGCATAAATGCAATTATGAACACTAGAAAAGGATTGCATCATAAAAGTATTGTACTTAAATGAGCATATGAGTCGCCTATTTAATAATCAGCCCCCAAAAATCAAAAAATTACAAACAGCCCCCAAAAATCGGAAAACAACAAACACCACCTAAAAATTCCAAAAGTTATAAATGCAGCCCCTAAAAGACCAAAGAACCTTAAAATTACAAAAACAATGAACTTTGGAATTTAAAATTATAGAATTGAAATTCTAAATTCTAATTATTCACAATCGATGGGAGTTCACATTCTAGAATTTCAAATTAATTTCTTGGATTAAATGCAATCTCATTGTAGTTTGTTTCCCACTCTACCCACGAGATCTTTTTGAAATAACACCCACCTAAATGTGCAAATGGGCAGCTACACGCCTGCCCATTGATGGCTCATTTATCTCATATTGCAATAACCCCCCCCCCCCCCACCCCCCCCCCCCCCCCCCCCCCCCCCAAGGCCTATGAGTTAAATCGGTAGGCAAAGATAGTGTATGGGCAAAGATGCAATAGCAAAGATAGCATACGGGCAAGGTGGAGAAACGGGCATGGGCAAAAATTGTCATCCATACCTGATGCCTACAAGAGGAAGTCCACTAGAAATACACTGGGCTCTTTTGGAGATGAATGCATCTTTTCTTTGATTTTAGTACTCACTTATGGAGAAGAGCTATGGCATGTGTACAGGAATATCATATCTCATCAAGCTGGCATGATATATTGGGTTCGTACTTAATGGAGAGGGGATATGGTTGCAAGAGGTATTAAGCGTGCAACTGTGGCCTCTTGTATCTACCACATATGGTGTGTGGAATCTCCTTGTCTTTCAACAAAAATTATTGAGAAGTGTGGAGGAGTGCTTGCAGCTGCTGAAGTTTGAAATCAAGATCCAATGCAACAAGGTTAATAAAATTAAAGGCAGTTCGAAAAACAGAGTATGGAGCTCAAGCATGAAGATATACCCTCAATTTGTGTCCAAATGATGGGTTAGTTCTGTTGATTTTTTGCTATGCACAGTGTCATAGAGGTCCTTCTATCTAGTTGTGACTTGTGTAGTGTCTTTTTGTTTGAGTTGAGACTCTAAAGTTGTTACCAGAGTCCGTGAGTGTACAGAGAGTTTTACACTCTATTGCTTTTGGTAAATGAGAGCACAACCTTACTTATCGCTTACTTACCCAAGACACAAAATTAATATTTTGCCATGTTCCTGGTATTTTGGATGTTCCTTTTAGGCAGGGAGATAGGTGGAAAATCCAACGATAAGGGAAGTTGTGCAATCAATAAGAACCCTCTGTAGGCCATGTTTATTGAGCCTCAAACAGGAAAAAAAACTTTATATTCCCTTTTGAAAAGCATTCTTTTTCCATATATTGGCTATCAATCAACATACACAAAGACCCTTTGAAGCTTTAATTTCATGAATTGTTGCACAGTGAACTGCAAAACTGGACCTGTGGATTGATCAATTTTTATGTCATGATTGCAATCCTTGATGAACTATAGCTACAAAGACATGAAGATGGAGTCAAATCGAAACTAAACTAGAACATCATTCCAACAAGACATCAGGAATGAGACATACATATATAACAATGTTAGTAATTCTATTATATCAACAA